GGAGAGGGCGCGGGATGACGCCTTCCTCTTCTTCGTCTGGGTTTGTTCCGCTGGAGGCACCTTGCAGGAGCAGCAGTGGCTTTCAGAAACAGCGTGACTGTATCGGCATGTAGAGGTTTCCTGGGAAATACGTAGACACTAGAACTAATGATTCTCCGGCTATGCATCCTTGTTTGGCAGAGAGGTGAGGGATCGCACCTACCGGGTCTCCGCAGGCCAGAAAAAGAGTATGAGTTTCATAAGTGCCTGACATTGAAAAAAAAATAGTAAAAAAATTATATACATGTGTGTTCTGCTAAAACAAGTAACATTGCACAGGTATGGAACTGGCGTGGGAGAGGGGGGAAATCCTGCATTCGACTTCAGGACTTGGATACCTTTCCAGGGACGAGCGTGCTCTCGAAGGGGAGAGGGTTTTTTAGCCAAAAGATTGCCGAGGAAGAATGTTCAGTTTGACAGGCCTAGTTCTCGCTTCCTGAGTTCGCTTTCTTTGTACAGACTTGCCAAATTGTGACATCTAGCATAGCATTGGTAAAAGCAATTATCTTATCAGTGCTGGGATTAATGAACATTTCAGCACCGCCTGTGAGCCTTGAGGCACCCTTTTTTATGGCTTAAATATGGTGCTAGCGCGTTTCTGCACAAACAGTGAGTTTGTCATGCACCCAGAAGTAACCGGCTATTTAAAGCATGCACACTTGGATACAGTTGATTCATGCCAATACAAGAGACTCAGTGTTGCAAGAGTTCGAATTAACTTATTTCGCTGTGTTTGGACATTTACTTTTAGCCTATTCTGTGCAAGATCCCTCTTCCCTATCAGCTACAGGGAGAACGATCACTCTGGGTATGAATGAAGTTACGGTAGGGACAATTTTTAAATTGGCTATTAACACGCCAACATTGTAATGTGGGTTTGATTCCAAACCAAAATGAATGTATTAAAGGGTATGTCAGTAAATTATTTTGTCAATACCCAGACAACTAGTGCTGCATAAAATGGTTTGCTTTCATTTTTTTATTACAGTGACTTAAAATAACCTAAGTATTTTAATACATCCAGTCAAGAACTAGAGATTTTATGTAAAAAAAAATTAAAAAATAAAACACAGCATGTATTATTATGCACTTGATTTCTCTGCTGTGTGGAGAAAGCAATAAGCATTGAGAATGTTAAACATTATGCAAAATATACTTTAAAATATTTGTTTTAAAAATACTGTAGTCAGTCTTTTATGCATTACTTTGTTAACCTTTTTTCTATGCAAAAGTCTTTACATATCACTAATTAAACGAAGTCCTTTTTGACTGCGTTTTGTGGATCATTTGTTGCAGTTTTTCTTTGCTCTTGAGGAATACTTGTGGACTCAAAGTTAGTTTCTGCCACTGGTAACAAGCCTGGTGGCTGCGCTGTCGTCTTCTGCTCCCTTTGCTCAGCCAGGGAGCCCATCTCATACAGCGTGCTCTGAAACAGGCAGAAAAAAGCAATCAGTAAAGCAGCACTGGTTTTCAGGCTTGTAAACTGGTTCTGCATTGACGGTACACTTAGTGATGCAAACCCATCTGTCCATCCTGGAGGGCCCCAAAAATCATTGGGATGTCTAGGTTCAGCTTTCCTTCAGATCCTCGTTAAGGGCCTGTGTTTAGAAGGGGAAAATTTTAGCCCAATGACATCATTAAATACCTGAATTGAGAGAGGGTGGGTTTTCCCTCCAGTTCTGGCCGAATTTGCCAGTTCTCACCAAGGCAAGGGTTTGTTGTTGTTTCATCTGAGATCTGCAAAGCCCATCTGTAGAAGGCATGTAAAGCTCTGACCGTACAGATGAGCACCAAGTCTTCGATGTCCGAAAGACCCTAGAAGATTATGATGCCCAAATGACAGCTGACAAGACTGAGGCACAGAAACGGGGTGACCACCCTTCAGCTGGACAGAGGCTTCATCCAGCGCCGAAATGCAGCCTCAGCTCAGCAGCTCGCTCCCCATCATCCCTTTCTCCCAAATGTCAAACCCGTAACCCATCCTCGCCGGCATCCACTGGTCTCCAGGCCCCGCGCGAGGAGGAATTCTCATTCGCCTGAACAGCGTGCTGTCCCGTGGAGAAAACGAACAGAGGAAGGGGACGAAGGCTCCCTACCCCTGCACTGCAAATCATCCTTGATCTTCTTTCAAGTTTTCTTGTTTGTGAAGGAACCAGGCTTTTTTTTTTTCAGGACACAAATGCTGTAGTGCTGTACTGGCATGCTTAGCAGCACCGGGTTCAGGTACAATTCACTCTCCATGTGAGCAGTTTCATCAATAAAGATTACATTAGTGAACTGGCAAGCAGATAAAAAGTGGGCTTTATTTATGTGAAAAAGAGCAGGTTGCAACCCTACTCGACTTTAACTGTGAACTGTTAACCTGCCCTCTAAGAGCCGGGTAGGAGGTCTCCCATGGATCCTATGGTGTTAAAAACGGGCGGCCGCTGACTTGGTTCTTCCTAAGGGCTTCAGTCTAATTGATGTGCCCCAAAACATTACTGTTTGTTGCCCCAAATGCGACGTTTTGCCTCATTCTACAGAAAAGGGAGTTTGAAAAAATATTGCTAAGAGACTGATGAGATGAAAGCGTAGTTCTTTTAGCATCCTGAAACAATGCACCGTGGGTGGATTTGTGCGGCTTGTGTGTTTGGGCTTACCCATTTTCACTCTCACACATTCGTGGACACCAAGTTGCTGATGTCTTCTCTCTTTTCTTGTTTCGTTTTGTTGTCTTTTCTTTTGTTCTTTTAATCTGAATCACTCAAAGGGAGCAGCACATGAGTCACGAGCTCAGCCTCCATGCCCGCTTACTCCTGAGCTGCAGTTGGGAATGTTGCCTCTGTGATAGCAGATGAAGATTTCCCAAGTGAGAAATTGATGGAGAAGCAGCATATTTCGCACATGCTGTTGGGAAGACACCAGAGGGTGACAGCTTCTGAGGGCTTTGGCTGTAGCTGTGCTAACAGGTGAGAGCTGAAGGAGTCTACGCAGTTTTTAAAATAGAGCAAGGGAAAACTGTTTCCTTTGCATAACTGAGATGCAAAAAGTAGGACTCATGGCTGTGCACGCAGCCTTACTTTGGCCCTTTTCTGAAGGATGATGATGGACCTGGAGGAAGAAGAAAGTTTTTAATTCACATAGTTTAGGACTAGATCATAGCACATAGCAGAAGAAAGCAAACCAGGCTGCTTACTCAACAGTAAGCAGTTGGCTTTGACTAACTTTTTCGAGGGGTGGGTTTGCAACCTTAAATTCCAGTTATCAAGAGGATCAGAGGAGGTTATGCAATTTCCTAGAATGTTTTTCTGAAGAGGAAAAAGCTAAAAACCAATTCTGTCACTCAGCATTAGCAGGCTCGAAACCTTAGCCCTCAGCAGTGCAAATAAAAAGCACCGAGGCTGCCGTAGCTGCGGGACGAGCTGTGCCACACAGCCCTCACATGAGATTGTCACCCTAGAGAGGGGACGGGCTGTGGAGAGGCGGTGCTGCCTGTCCTCCCTTTGCTGTGACTGCAGTGGAGGAAATCCGGCGTTAGGTACTGCCCCAGAAGAAGACCCATCTACTGTGGCCGAGGGACGGTTGCATATATCCGAAGCGGAATAATCGTATCCTGGCTGTGACTACATCTGCGTGAACAACTGCCAGGAGGTGCCAGTTCATGCTGTGGCCTCCTTAGTGTAAGCCTCCACAATGTTTGTTTTCAGCTACTCTGAAAGATGATACTTCAATCGGGATGTCATAAGATACGTAAAGGGCATTTACTGAGGCCTGGGACATGGATATTGGCAAACTTTTAAAGCTCTTGTAAATGAGAAATTTCTTCTTCAGAAGAGAAAAATGTCACAAGCGTCTTTTTATCTGAAGATACTACATCAGAAAATACTGCTGAAGTGTGAAGTGGATTGCTACCAGTCTCATTAGTCATCTGCTTCTATAGGCACAGATAGCCTGAGATCACACAAACGAGAACTGGAGTGATTTAGTACTCACAGGTAGTTTTGTCCAGCTTCGAGAACAGATGAAGAAATTGGCATAGCTTTGCTGGCAAGCTTCATGTGCCCAGCCTCATTTGTGTGAGGCTACTGCTTGAACTTGAGTGTAATTTTACTCAACGCTTAAATTTTCACTTGTGCTCTATTCCTCTGCTTCACCATTTCACACAGCAACACATCTGACCATGACCAGAAATGATAAGGAGTGGAGCACCAGGCAGGTGCTCGAAATGCTGGGATCTCAAGGCTAAACCCAAGCTTTCCTGATTTACAAATGAAACAAAATTTTGACAGATAATTATCTGAAAAGAAGTGTTTTGTTTTGTTTTGTTTATTTGTTTGTTTTTTTCTGGTAATTGCTACTTGGAATTTGTAAAGTTGCATTCAGTTCCCTCAGTATTTGCCCTGTCCTAAGCTGGGCTCCAACTATCACTCTGGAAGGTGCAGGTCTCCCTTGTGTCCTGTGTCACCTCTGCCAGCCCTGTGCAGAGGCCTGGGAAACCCAAAGTTGCCTAAGTGGCACTAAACACGTATGGCCAGGCAACTGAATTTCTCCTTCTCTATCATCTCACATCATCTGTAGAGAGATAGGATTTGAAGCTTAATAATAGTTTCGTATATCAAAGAATCAGCCTCCTTCTTACCTGAAGAAACAACAGAACGGTATCAAAGCCATGTGATGGTAATGTGTCGTTATCGTCTATCCATCTTGTAAAACTAAGGCCAGTCAACGCCTGCAATGGGCTCAGCGCCACTAACTTCAGAATTTCTCTTCATGCTCTGGCTGCAGCAGCGGCAATGATTGTAAGATGATGTCAATATAATTTCTTTTTAAAGGGATATTTTTCTGCATTCATGGTGGCAGTGCAAATCTGGGACACATGAATTGGTGCTGCACCCTAGAAATTAAAAAATCAGAAGCAAAAGCAAATGAATATGGGAAATAAAAGGAAATGTGTCTAGCTGAATTACTTTCACGGTCTGGAGAGGCAGACTCCTTTTTTTAACAGCTACAGCTGCCGGTATTGAGTTAAAGAAAAGCTAAATGTTTGAGACGATGTTTATCTGAACAGTGCTATTGCTTCTTCCACAGGAAAGTTCTTCTGAGGTGATGACTTAATTTTGCTTTCCACACAGTCCCTATTCCGCATTTTTCTCTTCTACAAAGGAAAGTCTTCAGGATGAAAAACGTACCTTGATGCAATGCTGAAATTGTGATTGCAGTCACCTAACAGCTGGGAAATCGCTAACTCTGCCCACATCTTCACGTATGTTACACTGCAAGACCACCTTCTGTGGAATCAAGACACTGCTCCAGAAAATGGTATATTACTGGAAGATGTAAAGAAAAGTGCTTTACCTGTAAAGAATACCCATAGATAGTATTCTGTATTACTGTGTGGTAGGTGAAAAAATCTAACAAAAGATTACAAGGCAATCCGTAAACCTAAAGAGACAAAATTACGATTATTTAAAGGCCGACACTTTTTTTCCCCCCTAGTTTTGAT